GGGGGGGGGGAGGGGTGGCGGCTTAGAGAAAACTACCTAAAAGCAACACAAATAGGGATGTACAAGCGTAATAGATCAGAAATATTTGAAACACCGAACGAAGGCAATGGTGGAATAATGAAGTTCGAGCAAAGCTTGCAACAAACAGTTTAAGGAATGAGATTCTGTTGTGAAAATTAGTAGGCCGACAAGCAGGGAGCATGCCGCAGGTATTGGGAAAAGATCTTAGATAATTGTCATGTGACAATCGATATTATAGGTGGCGAGTTTTTCCCCGGAACTTTACCTAAACCTTACTCTCAGGCTATTAATTTTCGTGTTATACAGGTTCGTTTTACAGGCGAAGAAGCCCTAGTGTGAGAGGTATTAGTCGCAGAAACAAATTGAGCCTCCCCCCTCTCTCTTTCTCTCTCATTCTTTCTGTTTGCATCTGTCTCTATTTATTTCATATCGTATTGTTCGTTGTTGTTTTAGTAAAGTTTTACGGCGCTTGCAACTGCATAAGGTCATAATATGAGCGCCAATGGATAGATGTCAACTAAGAAGTCCTAACGAGGAATCAGGTTTACTCTGCTCGCCTCTCTAGTCTCAACAGCACAAAGTATGCTTCGACCATCAAGGCACCCCGGAAAAAACAGTTTATAAGAGAGTGATAAACACACAAAAGAAGTAGAGGAAAAATGAGGATAGTAAGGATGAGGAAAGAAAAAGCAGATGTTCCCCCTGTGTTGTTCCGGCACAGTATGAGCATGGCAATGATAAATCAGCCCATTTACAATTCTACTGTGCATAAGAACATGTAATACCCCCCCCCCCCTTTTTTGGGGGGGAATGGCCTAAAGGCCTTTCAGTCCGTGGCACTGCCCTGGGGGGGGGGGGGGGACTCGTATTGTTCGCATATCAACTTTTGTCTCATACTCATACAACTCATGCTTTATCTTCGAAGTGTTAGCCTGCACTACATCCTTAATTGGTTTCACGAGATGTGACCCCTTTCACCTTTCTCCGTCTTTCTTTCCAACTCTGAAGGGTATAATAATATATAATGCAATATACTATATGTTGTTGTTGTTGTTTTCAAATCCCTTTAGCTGCGAGCATTTCGCTCTTGGCAGCGCAATGCCTCCCTCAAATAACCGAATATACTATATAAAATGAACAGAAAACAGCAAACCCCCTCGCCTTCCCCCTTTACCCCAAAATAATATTATACAGCCTTTCGCTCCCTGATAAACAGCCTAACTTTGCTCTGCTTCGCGTCAGGGTTTCCTGTATTCCTACGAGAAGGTGGATCCCATTGTTCAGAGTTGTGATTCTTGTGATTCTTGTATAATTACATAACACACCACTGATCATCAGTTGTGTCGCAACGCCACAGCCCCTGGTCACGGTGAAATGGCATACAATCAAGGGTAATTATACGAGTCTATGGCCACGTCGCAGGGAACCAAACAAGATTATGTTGGACCCACAAGGAAACCAGGCCCGATTACAGAGGTGGCGCCTGATGGGTGCAGACCTCGTATGTTTAGACGAATGCCATGGGTTGGCTCTGGGAGAAAAATGATTTTGTTCTAAAGGTCACTACTTAAAAAAAATTAAATGCTTGAAATTAAAGCTCGAGAAATAACCATGCAAATTTTCAAGATTTGTTTCCCGAAATTAGGTCTTTTACATCTTTCCATGAATCAGTTGGGGCAAAGTACTTTCCAGTATTGTTTTGAAGAGTGCAGTTATCCTGCTGTAATTAAATATCTTACAGCATCTACTTCAAAAGGACTAATATAACACTATTTTATTCATTTATTTATTTATTCATTTATGTATTGTTGTTGGGGGGGGGGGGATCATTTTAAACCACCATAATCTCGAGTATTTTGCTTTTGATACTAATAATGGAAGAGTGAATCACATCATACTAATTAATTATGGGTTTAAGATTTTAAAAAGCATATATTTTGAGTAAATATATTTAAAAATATCCCTTCCTTAACAGTATGTAATATTTAGTTGAAGGGATTTTTTTCTTGCTGTTGCTGATATTTTTGGTACCATTACTGTTTTCCTTCTAACAGAAGTTATGGTTATATTTTCCCAGTTTTAGCACTACCGTGCATACTAAAAGAAAACATCTTGGTGACATGCAGGCCCTACAATAGCTATACCTAAGCAGCAGCCAGTGAAACAAACACACTGTATTATCTCAAAGAACTAAGAAGATTGCGATTTAAGCCAATCTTTATGTAAGAAACAGAGTACAATATCTTGGAAAAGCCCCAAAACTCTTTAACACTCAGCCTTCAGTTAGAAACACATGGAGGATTCTAGTCTTTGCAGTGTATTTTTTCCTCTTTAAAAACGAAAAAAGAAGACAAATTGCCAAGACTATAGATCTACTTACTGATACATGCAATGCCTTGACAGGATACCGCAATGGTCAACCATCCGAGTTTGTTCTATTCGAGACATCTTTTGTCGTCCTTGAAGCTGAAGAAGTACGGGACTGGGCTGTATGTTCACTGGAACTTGCGTCATCTTTATGTCCACAGATCTTCGCCACGCCTGGAGTGACCACGGTATTGGAAGAACGCCCTACGCGTTTTATTTTATGTTTCTTCCGTCTAACCTTCGGGCTTGGACTTTCTTTTCCCTCGATAGGTTTCAAACGAGTAGGCAAACGGTTCTGGGATTTTCCCGAAGACTGGACAGTTTCTGCCGAACAATCACGTTTGATAGTTGTTTCTTTTGAAATTGCTCCTTTTTGTGCCATTTCTTCACTGGAAACAATCTGTTTTATTTTGATTTCTTCCGAGTGTGAAGAGACCACTGTACGAATGTCTTTGCCATTTTTGTTCGACGTCAGCTTTTTACTTGGGGGATTGCTATCGACATTCTCTGTTTTGCTTGCTAAATTGTCATTGTTTTTTGTTTTACTGGATTTTACGTCCTCTTTGAGTAGCGAGGAAGCGTTTGGACTGTTTATTTTCACCAAAGAAGGTACGGCAGACTCTTGGTCACATGGGCTAGGTTGAGAACCCTGCGGGGCAACAGTGGCAGAGATAAGCTTTCCTGTATTGGTGCCTGACGTACCACTGAGATCTAAGCCTGAATCTGCACCAGACGTCCCAGAAAATCTTTTCACCACTTTAGCTTTATTGGGCGATGGGTGGGCTGCTATTTCCGGATCGGACAGCGATCTGGTTCTGTGCAGCGTTCCATGGACATTTCTAGTGGACACCGGTTGGGAGGACGAGTACTGGTCTATTTCACAACTGGAATCATAGTCACTCGTATCCCCAATAAGCTCCTCCGGCCATTCAGGGTCGGAATAAGAAATGTCGAGTTTCTTGCCCTTTATTGCTGCTGTGATTGCTAGCTCATTTTGGGAAAGCGATGACGTGTCTGTGACGTGCTCTGAAGACTTATCTTCAATACATATTCCAGTGGAGGTTGCAAAAAGGACCGGAACACTAAACGCAAGAATATGGGAGACCTCCGCTTTCTCTCGTTCTTTCTCTTTGTTTTTCGGGGTGGAGAACTCGACCTCAATGTTTGGAGGTTTATCTTTGCTGACATTTGTATCACTGCCTAGGCCTACGACCTCTATGTCAATGATGGAATTATTTCTCCGACAAAGCACACATTCTTTAGTGCTTTGCCACAAATCTTTCTTACAAAAGAACGTCACAAAAGGGAATATTGCTGAGAAGAAAAACTTCATCCATATGAACACGGCATCAACCTCCCATGGATAGTCTAGGAACTGACTTTCCTCAACTCCTTGACTCTGCTCATAATGTTTGATAGAGGACGTGATCACAAAAGGCACATTGAGTATTAGCCAGAGAACAAACAGAATCCGTGTGTAACAGGATGGGTGAGATACCACAGAGTCTGAGAGCGGTGTCTCGTTGAGCATTTGAGTGTAGTTTTTATGAGGATCTTGCGTTCTCTTGGAGTTCCTGAGCTCGCACGTGACCCTCACTATAAGGATCTGAAAGACGACGATGGAAACAAGAGGGGCAAGGAAGCAGATGATGAGAGTGAGGTAGACGAAAACCACGGAGGTGTCGCCGGTCACGGAGCACAGATGAAGCTGAGGGCGGAACTGAGAAGATACGGCGTCTGTGAGGAAAGGAATGCTGAAGGCTGCAGCGTGGAGCCAGAGGTAGGCAATGATGAGGTATATCCTGTACGAAAACAACCACGCTTCGTACTTGAGGGAGTGGCGCAGAGAAAAATATCTATCCACGCTCAAGCTCATGAGTAGAAGAACGGTTTCGATGTTGACCAAATTCAGGAAAAAGCAATTAACTTTACACATAAAGTCCCCAAAAGCCCAATGATCAACGATTAGAGACCCCATAACCAGAGACATGTTGAGAAAGGTGTCAATGAAGCACACGACACACACGTTGGCTATCAAGAGATTCTGAATAGTTCGATGTTTTCTACTGTGGACGATGACGATGATGAGGAGGAGACTGCCCACCGACGACATGATCATGAAGAGAGTGAGGAACACCATGCGCGGGGCTCTCGAGATGTCAGAGGTCGTCGAGGTCGTGTTGAGCCCGGGCGATGTGGACGACATTTTGATTTTGTTCTGGCTCCTGTATTCACGAATGCATCATTCTGTTTCATGGAACAAAAATAAAACATTTTATCATCCTAGCTTCAAATAATATTGTACTGTAAAGGAGAGTTGCGAAGTGAATTGAATCATGACAATAACATTATACCGTATATCAAGTGATTAAGGTGCTTTGGCCATATTAAACATTAATTTGACTCTTCAAGCAGCAAACAGTATAGAATCAAAAACAAAAGAACGATATCTGCAACAGTAACATAAACAACAGTCAAAGCAACCCCCTCCCCCCGCAACAACACCAACAACACTAGAGAACTTGATAATAGAGGCTCCACCAAAAAGAAGATTAAAAAAAATAAAAATAATAATAGATAGCATTTGTATAGCGCATATCCCCGCTCAACAG